TAGTAATTTTGCTAAGGTAGTAACTTAAGCCAGTTTTTAAAAATACTGTTTTTATTAATTTCAGAGAGGAAGGGAGAGGGAGAGAGAGAGAGAGAAACATCAGTGATGAGAGAGAATCATTGATTGGCTGCCTCCTGCATGCCTTCTACTGGGGGTTGAGCCCCCTTGTGCCCTTGACTGGAATTGAACCTGTGACCCTTCAGTCCGCAGGCCGACGCTCTATTCACTGAGCCAAACCGGCTATGGCTTAAGCCATTTTTTAAAAATTTCATTCTGTAGATTATTTTAAAATACTCTAAAATATTGGCCAATTTTAAGAAAAGGAGAATATAAAATTGGAATATATTGGACATTCTCTGACAGTCACACCAAGCCTCATGTTCATAATTGCCTGATTTAAAACATCTTGCTGCTGCTGTGGACTTGTCTTTGGAACTAATAGGAGATTAGACACATTCGCCTGCCCCAACAATAGGGTTTTTAAAAGAGGTAGATCAAAGACATTCTGAGCTTTATGCTTTGATTTTTAAGCCCCCACAGTTCTGCCTAGGATAAATAATGCGGAAAAGTTAGGATAGTCACAGACTAATTCTCAGTTGAATGCAGCAGCCTCTCCCCTGACATTTAGCTATTTTGTATGCTTTAGAGCTTTATGCTATAAAAATGCTACAGAGCATCTCTCATTTCTTCTCAAGCTAGGAACTGTTAGTTTTCATTTGAAGAACAAACTGGTGATTTCCTCTTATGGTCTCTTGGGTGAGTTTTCTAAACTCAGTAATTGAGAAAAAATACTTTGTGGATAATTGAATTGGAAGTATCCCCATTGCTACAAGGGTCTCTAAGCTTCAGAGTTATCAACTGTTGAACTAGGAGGGAGCTGTGAGGTGTTGAGTCTTTGAGACAGGATATCTGCTTTACTATCTATGTGGTTGGCAACAGCCCTATCCCAGTGCCGTTCTAGGGTAGTAGGCTCCACTCAGTTTGGGACAACATTTCTATCATGTTGTGCTACTCTGTCCCCCATTTACTTCTGGACTTTAGGGTGTTTCTTTATGTAGGTATTTTAAACCCTTATGCGGTTGAGTGATGTAATCTTTAAACCTTTACAAACAGAATTCCAAACCATATAAATTCATTCAAAGACATTTCATAAATTTACTTAGACCTATTTACTTAGACTAAAAATTGGCATGCTAAATCTAGTTTTGTTACCCTAGATTCCTAATCAGAAAAGAAACAGTATACCTTGTTGAAATGAACAGTGAATCTATAGAAATGCAATTATATGTATCCTGAAGAAATGTAGTTATTTCTCAAATCTTGTCTTAACATACTTTTTCAGGTAATAAAATTGTTTCATCATAACTTTCAAAGTGAAAATATCTACACTGTAGACATTGTTAATTTATTAACTAACGATGTAGCAGAAACCTATGCACTTTCTTATATTAATGATGTAATGTGAAATTGGTTGAGACAAATGACTAGGCTAATTTAACTTCTTCATAATTTTTCCTTTGCATTTCTGAATGCTTTTAGAACTTTGTAATACCTACAAATGTGTACCATCTTCTCTTAAGGAAGTAGATGTAGTTGAAATATTTGTACAAGCTGCCCTTGTTTCCTCCAAAGAAAGATTGCATAAGAGAGTTTTAATCAGTTGTGTGGGGTGACCCATTTTCAGGTCATCAACAATGTAATTACTGTTGGAATGTGCTTTAAACACTTCAAGGGGTAGTGGCTCACTTAGAATAAGCAAGGCTTCCTTTTCAAGTAATATAGATAGTTTTAGAATTATACAGAAGGGCAAGGAGATAAGAAAAACCCAGCCTCAATGTTCTTTATAAACCCTGCCTCTTATAGGGTCTAGGCAGGCATACACTCCTTCCTGAGCCAAATTTTGAGCTCTTAAATATTAAGATGTATAAATTTAGATTAAGCCTCCTTAATACCTAGATCTTGGAATTAAAAATATATATGAACATATTTTTTTGTTTTATATTTATATATAAATATAAATGTGTGTGTGTGTGTGTGTGTGTGTGTGTGTGTGTGTGTGTGTGTGTGTATATATATATATATATATATACACACACACACACTTTTTAATTGTATAAATGCTCCATATCCATAGTAGGAATGTAAGAAAGTCCAGGTGAGCAAAAATTAAAATGTCTCATAATCCTATCCCTCACTGGATATCATTATTTACATTCTGGTGTATGTACTTTAAAATATTTTTCTGCATATTTAAGTATATGTTCAATATAATTTGACATGCTTATCTTTGGGGTGTCCTCCAAACATAGTTTGAGAGAGTTTTCAGTATTTACATGATTTCATGAGGTATAACTAAAAATTTCCTTTTAAAAACAATTTGCATCTTTAAATGTTTTTTTCAAAATAGTAATAAAGCTACCTCAAATCCTCTTTGGAAAGAAAGGAATATAAATAGACACTTTGGGAGGTTATGAATTTACTCTTACAATGCCATCATTGTTCCAAACATCTTAAGCTCATCTTTTGGAATTTTACTTTCTCTTTGAATATCATAAATGATGGCAAATCTTGATGCTTTGAGGCTGGATATAAATTTTTGAAATGGCTAATGGTCATTTAATCCCAGAGAATAAGGTGAATGGGAAAACTGAGTATCATTAATTGGAGTAAAAAATTATGTATGATTATGAAATTGACTTAAGTAAAGGATTATGATTTTCTTATCAACTGACCCTATGGGAGTTTTCAACGAGAAATTATAAAACTCCTTTAATCCCTTTAACATCATTGAAATATTTGCTTAGTTTTCCTGGTGGACTGCTTTGAAATAAATCATCTTTGATTCTTTCAGTTCTGATTTATTTGAAAGTTCACTTACTTTTATCTTTCTCATTCAGAAACATTCCTAGAATGCTTAGCAGTGCTGCAGGTGTCTCCAACTGTAGCGTTAGGAGAGTGTGATTGGTCAGTGGAGTGATTCTGGCCCTGGTTTTCCTTGACCCTGAGAACGATACCATCTGAACTGTTGCTTCCTCTTCTAGAAAATGCGATATTATAATTAAATGAACTCTGCATGTTTGATATTGATCAGTGTATAAAATACTCAGGATGTTTGGCATTCTACTGGATAATTAGGAAGGTTTAAGGTTTTCACTAGTTAGGGAGAGAATATATCAATAGATGAATATAAATAAAATATATCAATAAATAAAATATTGCATATGTTTTAGTTACAGTGTGCCATTGCTTTTTAGGAGAGGGGTGAGGCAGCGTCTCATTTGAGGGAGAGAGAGTGTATAGAGGAGATACGTGTTTCATGTGTTGAGAATATAGTCTTTACAAAGCTTCAGAGATGTGAAAGTGCACATGAGATCTGTAGACATACTCTTTTGAAACCCCAAGTAATTTTCAGTCCATGAAGATTTTGTTCTAAGCAAAGAAGTTGCTACAGAGACTGCCATGTTCCATATTTCAGAGTCACAGTAGTCAGCCATTACAGATGTGCTCATCTAGTAAGAGAAAGCTTTTTCCAAAGAAAACATAGACTTGCAGTTGCTGTGGGGGTGAAGTAAATAAGTGATTTCATAAAGAGGGTAATATAAAGCAATTATTTATAAAAATAAAGAATAACCAATAAGCATAGGCTATAAATCGTTTTATGTCTAATCACATAATGCAGATTTATTAATGAGGGAATATATGACTTATCAAATTGATAGGTTAGATGTTATTGGTAAAAGGTATGAGATGTAGCCAACCTAGCCGGACATACTGATCGATAAAGATTTTATATTTTTTGGGTCATTTTACTTAAAAATTAAATTATCTAAAGGAAATATTCAGAGATGTGCTCTAAGATTATTGTGCAAGAATATGTACATTGCAGTGTTGTTTTTAAAACTTAAAAGTTGGAAGCAACCTAAATGACCCAGTTGACAACAGTTAAATTATGATACAGCCTAATGAACAAAAGGTTTTACACCTTTACTCATGTTTTAACACATCTTTAAAGGTACACACAGAAAAATGTGTAACTTTATATAGTGTAACTATTTTTTTCCATGTAAATTCCAAGTATGAATGACAAAATATTGAGTATATTAAAGACATTTTTCTGTAAATTTCCAAATATTCTACAAGTTCCCTTTTATTCTGAAAGTAAATGTTTTTAAACATATGGCAAATACATGTTTTTTAAATATCCTGTCTGCATCCTTGTATGAGCCTATACTTTTCTTGTCTTCTACTCTAGAAAGCCATCAAGCTATCTGTGGCCAGAATTCCCACCTGGTGGCTTGCTAAGGACCTATTGCCCCCCCCCGCCACACACACCGTTTCCCACCAGCTTCCTTTCTTTTTTCCTTTCAATGTTAATTGTTTATGTGCATAAGTGTAAATACTGTTTTCTTTCCTTTGTCTTTCTGACTATAGTTTAGCTTACTCCATCTTGTGTACTGTCTTTACACCTTTACACTTAACTATTATTTACTCCTTTCTTTGCTTACCTTTTCCCGTCTCTTGGGCTGTTGTCTCCAGCAGTTCCTACTACTTCTCTCTTCAGTCTGACTGTTCCACTTGTTTTCCCCCTTGCTCAATTTTTCTCTTCATTTGAACTAAAAAAGGGCCCTGTACATAGCTAATAGTAACAACAGTACTACTTTTATTAAAACTGAGGGAAAATATACTATATCTTCTAATAAAATATAGACACGAAATAGTAGATTTGAGTTTTTTAGTGTCTAATGGTCTTGAAAGTACCTTGAAGTCCCCTCCAGGATATACCGTAGTCTTCATCAGATCATACCTACTTTACTTAAATACTTGCATTTAAGAGAGTTGTCATTTAACCTTATTTTTAAATTATTACTGGCTAATATAGTAACAGAACTGCATTCTACTAATTTCAGATAGAACTATAGAATATTTTAGAATCTTTTGTAAATAACCTTATGACCAGTCTGGGTACTCGGTCACTATTTATACTTTTCTTTTTTTTTTTTATCGCTTCTCGGCCTTTTGGCTAAGATCAAGTGTAGTATACTTTTTTTTTTAATAGAAAACTGTGTTGTAAGATCCAGCTAACAAGTCTAGAAACTAACTTTTGAAATACTGTTTATGTGTATCTCTATATTAACAGTGAGGAACAGCCTCTCCCAGGGGCAGGCTGTATGTACTGCAGGCTGTGTGTCTGGACTGCAATTTGATGATACCAAAGCTGAGCGTGTAGAGGAATGGTTGGTTGAGAACAGGATTTTGGAGGGACCACTTAATGGTTTGCTGAATGCTGATTAGAATGCCCAGGAAAAACCTCTGCTCATTCTGCAGTGGAATTTGATGTCAGTAGCATATAGCATGAATAAGCCACACCCACTGAGTAAATGGAGACAAAGTGAAAAAGTCATAGGCAATAATAATAGTTAAAATACTATATGACACTATACTAATGGCCTTCACAATTAGGTCAGATTTTCATTTAAATAGGATGGTTTAGATCATCCTGTTCCAAGGGAAACTAGATTAAATAACATGTCAGAGTCCCTTTCTTAATCTCCCAATTTGCTGTAGGTTTTTTTGTTTGTTTTTTTCTAATCCTTACCCGAGGACAAGTACACTGATTTCTAGGGAGAGGGGGAAAGGGAGAGAGAGACAGAGACACCGATGTGAGAGAGAAACATCAATTGGTTACTGGTATGTGTCCTGACTGGAAATTGAACCCTCAACCTTTCAGTGTACAGGACAATGCTCCTACCAACTGAGCCACACCAACCAGGGCTGCCATCGGTTCTTAATTAAAAGATGCTCTAATAATCATTGCATCATATTCTTTTTACTTATGCCAGCAATTCAGGGAAACAATTTAACCTTTTTTAAAAAAACATTTTTTTATTGATTTCAGAGAGAGAGGGAGAGAGAGAAACATCAGTGATGAGAGAGAATCATTTATTGGCTGCCTCCTACACACCCCACCCTACCCCCACCCCTTGGTTCATAGGTCAATGCTCAACCACTGAGCCACACTGGCTGGGCTGATTAAGCCTCCTTTACTGCCCAAATGGCATACTCTTCTGGCATTATTATTTTTATTTCACTATGACCAGAAATTACCTCACAATATCTTTAGAATGGAGTCTTCTAATATGGTATAACTAAACTAACTATAAAGTTTAGAATATTTACCATTTTATTTTGTGTCTTCATACGTGGAAACATTATATTCCTTCAGGAACTAGTTTGAGTAACTTAAGTTTCATCAGGGATGGACCAGAATTTAGATTAGAGGGGTGTGTGTCATTCATGAGAGGTTTTGGATTAGTCATTTAATAAAGGCCTGCTTGAACCACCGTATTTCCACAAACAGAATGAATTCTTAGACTGAGAAAGCATAATTCCATTAAGGTCACCTGTATAGTTCTCTACTTTCATGAACTTGGGTTTGAATTTAATTCCTGTCTCAAACAGTTAAGTAATTGCTACTCTGATAGTGATCTATAGCTTTTGAATTCCAGTAGAAACAAATTTCTAATAGGGAAGTTTTATAAACTTTCTAGATAATGCTATGAGAATGTAAAAATTGGCAAAAGTTCTTTTTACTGATGTTTTGAAAATGAAGTTTTTCAGGATGGATTTTTAAAAAGATTTATGTCGGGCAGCTGACGGTCTCCTAGGGCTTTTAAGGCCAGGTTAAAAGGTTGAGTTTCATTATTAATGAAATGGGAAAGCCATTGAAAGATTTTAAGCATATTTTAATGGTCACTCGACTGATGTAGGGAAAGAGTAGAGATACTCGTAATTTGGATCATGGTTTGGATCAAGAGGCCAAAGCTGAGAATAAACTCCCGTGGAGATATACATTGCTTTGAAGAAATTGGCTAAATTAAGGAAATCATACAAATGTGCATGATACCAAGAGGAAGATATAAGGGAGGTTTTGCTTGTTTTGTTTATTTATCTTAAAATCTTTATTGTTGAAAGTATTACATATGTCCCCCTTTTTCTCCCATTGACCCCTATAGCCCGTCCTGACTGGAAATTGAACCGTGACCTCCTGGTTCATAGGTTGATGCTCAACCACTGAGCCACACCATCTGGGCTGAGCATACTTTTTTTTAAAATATATTTTTTATTGATTTCAGAGAGGAAGGCAGAGGGAGTGAGAGATAGAAACATCAATGATGAGAGAGAATCATTGATTGGCTGCCTCCTGCACGCCCCCTATTGGGGATCGAGTTCGCAACCTGGGCATGTGCCCTGACTGGGAATCAAACCTGTGACCTCCTGGTTCATAGGTTGATGCTTACCCACTGAGCCACGCCAGCCTGGCCAAAGTTGGTACATTTGTTTACTTATATCTCTCTTCCTTGCCAACCCATAGAAACTCCATGAAGGCTGTCTCTGGGTCTGTTTTACTAACAAGCCCTTCTCTCTGTCTCAGAATCTGATACAGTGCCTGTTCTGTAGAAGAACACAGTTGACCCTTGAACAGCGCAGAGTTAGGAGTGCTGACCTCCTATACAGTTGAAAATCACATATGAAGTTGGCCCTTTGAATCTGCGGGTTCCCAACCAAGGAGTTGCCCTTGAACAATGCAGGTTTGAACTGCATGGGTCAATTGAAAAACTCCTCATATAAGTGGACCTGCACAGTTCAAACCCACATTGTTCAAGGGTCAGCTGTATTTGTGGAGTAAATAAATGAATGCTTACTTAGTGGCATCCTCAAGTCTAAGTTTAGAGGGTGTGAATGTTTGGTTTCTTCCAGTTGTAGATGGGCATTTGGGGAGAAGGTCAGGGATTTGCAAAGGATTGTTAGAGAATGGTGATGGTAATGGCTCTTAAATCTTAAGTTGAGCAAAGGAGAAAGATAGGGCTGATAGGTAGGAAGAAAAGGGAGGATCAATGGATTAGAGTTCACAGATGAAAGAATTGTTGATGGGGTAGGAAGCTCTTTGACAGGGATTGGAGACTGTGGTGGGGAAGAGGGTGTCTGAATTTGTGAGTTGGGAGGTGAGGCTGTTTGTGGAGATGAAACATTCAAGATGTGTCCTGGGAGTATGAAAGAGAATAGAGGAAAGATCACTGAGGAGAAACTTAAGGAACTGACTGAGAAGCCAGGGTGTCGAGTGTGGTCTGTAAAGGTGATAATGTCACTTAAAATGACAGGAGTTGGGGGGAAAGAGAGACTTGGGGGCCGGGTGTTCAGGGACAGAAGAAACCAGTGGTCAGATTGGCCCTATTAATGAAAACCTGCTGTTAGCGGTCTATAATATCTCAATTCATTCAGCTTCTTATTATTAGCCAGAGTAAAAATAGTAGTTAGCTTTCCCTCCCCCTCCTCCAGTCCACCTCTAAGGACAGCCTTGCCTTTGCACATGCTTGCTTCTGTTAGATGTGTCCACTTCCTTCTTGAATCTGGCTTATGTTAGTTTTAATTTTGCAATTCTTTATTCTATACTGTCCATTTGTTATATAAAAATCCTGTCTAACTTGCTGTTTAGGTTAGCCCCTGCTTTAACTAGAGCAGGAGACCTCTAGCTTTTGACCTGGTTATTCTGTCATCTTTTTGGCATTAAATCCATTCCTTCCACTTGAGGATTGGTACAATGAAAACATGTATTCTTGGCTTCCTTTTTCTTTAGTTAAAGTGAAATTCTTTTAAAAACAAGTCAGAAAAAAAATAAAAACAAGTCAGAATATTGTCCTAGTTCCCTTTGAAAAGCTTGTTCACACAATTTAAGATTTGTTTATATTCCTGATGCTGGTGAAAACCATATTACTTGAAGGAATTTCAGAGATTATAACATCCAGGTGCTTCATCTTAAGGATGGTAAAAATGAGACACTCAGGAAGGTGGAATATATATAAACTAACTAGTTGCAGAGCCTGCCTTCTGGCCTCCAGGCTAGTGTTTTTCCCCAAAAAAACAAAATGCAATCAGAATATTCTTTTTAATAATAAATAGTAGAACAACTGTACTTTTCCATTTTCAGTGTGATGGGGTTATAGGAAACCCAGTGTCCCATAATCAAAATATCCTTTACTACTCTTTACAATTCCTACAGGATTAAGATATGGATGGGTATGTAGAAGTAGTATTTTTATTTTTACCATGAGGAAAATGAGATGAAATTACTTGATTGAGCTCATTAAACTAATTGTAATATTATTGAGTGCTTACTGTGTACCATTTATTGGTCAAATGCTATATATATATTAATTCATTTAACCTTCATGACAGTCCTCTTCTGTGTAGATACCATTATTTAACCTAGCTTTATGATTAAGGAAATAGAAAGGTGGAGGTTGAGTAACTCTAACTTGCCCAAAGTTCATAGAGGGGAACTTAGGCAGTCTGACTGGAGTCTGATTTTTTAACCACCATGACTTTGTGTGTTTTTTTCCCCCACCATGACTTTGTTTAATATAAGTGGCAGAGACTTAGAATTGGGTCTCGAAATTTGAAGTCCAGTGTCTTCTATATTTTACTGCCTCTGACCATGAAAATAAATACCGCCTGACTCAGTATGGTTATATGAATGACTAGGAAAGTGAAAGATAAACTGTGGAAACAGGAAAGTGATTACAATCTTCTAAAATGAAACTACAGAAGAGTAGGTTTAAGGGTGTAGGTTTTGGTAATCTGCTAGGTTGGGAGAAGGTTATGCTGTTGAAGGATAACACTTCACCTTTTCTTAGTTATAAATGACCTTTTCTTATCCACCCAGCCCAGTCCTCCTCAGACTCCATATTATCAGAGAGAAAGGAAGAAACAGAAAAGAGGACCCCTTGTTGAGTTTAGATCTCCTGAACACACACAGGATCAGTTCAGAAGTTCCCATGACACAGGGCATTGAGAGTGAGCTCCTTGCTTGGTTCCTCACCCAAGAAGAGACCGGCCCAGGTCCATCTCTCCTGAGTAGGGAAGGCTCAGCTCTCTGAAGAGACTTCTACTCGGGTGCAGGCTGCCATGGGCTGAGCCTGGCTGTCTGAGGTAAGATGATAATCTATCAAATGTGCATTAATGCACAGAAGCTGGCAGTGTCGCTAGTGCAGCTGGCAGTGTCCCCAACTCTAATCACCTCCTCCTGCATGCTAGGAATGGAGATCCAGATTGTTGCCCTTAAAGAGTATATAGTCTGATATACTGATAGGCAAGATAAGATTCAATCTTTAAGTATATTTTAAA